TAGTGGGGAAGGGGGTGCAGGGCACATGCAGTGAGACCCCGGCTCTTGTGTAGGAATCAGACACCTTTAATGGGCAAGGGTCCAGACTCCTCTGCAGGAGGGGTCTGAAGAGGCGATCATGCGCATTCCCCCCCTGCATCCAGGCAGGACCACCCTGCCCTCATCCTGGACTGAGGAGAGGGAGGCCATTTGTTTAAACAGTGGTCCTCTGCCCGTAAGAGGAAACCTTTTGGCTTCTTGTCTTCTTTCCCGTCCTCTTCCCCCCTCCAGCTGGAAGTCCTTTCTAAAGTCCAACCCAGGGTCTTCCACTGCACTGCTGGTCTGGTACCTCCTGCCTTGTCTTTCTTAGAGATGAGGACAATAGGTGCCCTTTCTAGGTGTGTTTTTGTGTCCTGTCCCCTCCCCACCTTTTCTTCTCTGACAGAGTCGCCCTGGATCCCACAGTGCTTCCCTCCAGCCCCGTCCTCATCTCTGCCCTGCTCCCTTTCCCCACCCCAAGGCTGAAGGAGCTGGACTGGGCGGAGGGGTGGCTGCGGGCTGGAGCAGCAGGAGAAGGAGGTGGTGACCATAGCCGCCTGCCCTCTGGTCTTCGGTCCCAGCACATGCCCCATATGGGGCTGTCCGTGTCTGTGTCAGAGGCCTTATCCATCTGAGCTGCTCCTCCCAGTGGGGCACTGGGAACACCAACCTCCCTCCACCCACACCCCCCCCACCCCACCCCAGGGCCTTGCTCCCTCTGCCTGTTGCCAGGTTCTGAGTGTATTTTTTTCCAGAGGCCTCCGATTGTTTCCTGAAGAAACCTGATCCCAGAGCTCAGACAAAAGCTGGGGCTGCCAAAGCAGAAACCCCATTCTCTCCCCCTCTGTCCCTAACCCCCCCACCTCCATAACCTCCCTCGCTTTGGATGCTGGGTATGGGTTCCAGGACCTAGCTGCCATCACCTAGGCAACAGGGGGCTTTGGTTGCCATGGTGATCAATGTGGGAGAAGCTGGGCAGCCGGGACAAAAGCCCCCACATTCCCCCCCAGCCCTCCCCCCAAGCCCCTTGGGATGATACTGAGACACATTCCATTAATTTTATTTCTAAAAGGCCTTTGGAGGGGAGAAGGGTCTCCTTTTGTGACGGACTCTCTCTTGCTTCCCTCTCTCCTCTCTGGCCTCCTTTTAACCCCAGATAATCCATGGTTGGTTTGAGCAGGGGACTGAGTGAGTGTGTTTGTGTGTCTTGGGGGGTGGGGGCAAGGTGAAAAGCAACAGACACATTCCCTTTTACAGCGTCCCAGACCAGGGCACTCCCTGCCCTGCACCAAGTCCGGACTTCCCTCCCCGTCTCGTCATGCCTCTGACATTTCCACTTGTTGATCTCATCCAATGATACCCTCCCCCACTCTCTTCCCTGGGAACGCTGCCCACCCGGGAGACCCTCCAAACCCCTGATTGCTGAGACTGATTATACAAGGGAACTTCTGCCCTCCTCCTTTCTCGCCTCCCATCCCTCCCCCCAGCCTCTCCCGTGCTTCGATTAGTTCCCTGGGGTACTTGAAGGGACAGCGGGCAAGGGTCTCAGAAATTGGGTTCATATTTGGCCCCTCTGTTTGGTAGGGGTGGACAGAGGAGCATGTTTTAGAGCTTTGGGGGCACTCTGAGTTGGGCTGGTCGTGGTGGGAGAAGCGGTCCAGGGGAGCTGGGTGACATTGGGTCTTTGATGAGTAGCAGAGAGGAAGGTAGGGGGCTCTAGGCTGAGCAGCTCAGAACAAAGGGTTGGGAAGGGACTGGCACCCTTGTCTGCCTTGAAATTTATCTATAGGAGAAACAATGGCATCAGCTTCCCTCCTGGGTGTGTTTGAAGTGGTGGTTCTGGTCAGGGATGTGTGTGTGTGTGTGGATGTGACTTCTTTATTTAGTCATACAAACAGCAGAATTTATTTATACTGCTTCTTTCCAAAGTCTCAGAGGAAGTGTCTGGGGAGTGTGAGTGATCCTGGAGCCAGAGCGTATTAATTGCTTAACTAATTACTAGCTGAGCAGTTTATGAAAGCACTTCTTTCACTCTTGTGATCCTCACAGCAACCCCATGAAGTAGGTATCGTTCTTTTCCCTATTTTACTGATAAGCCTACCAGGCTACAAAGTACAGAGAAGTTAAGTAACTTGCCCACAGTCGCACAGCTAGTCAGTGAGAGAGTTAGGTTTTGAACCCGGATCCTTGGGTGCAAACTGCAGGCTCTTTTTGCTGTTGGCTCTGGCAAACATGAGTGTGCAGGCTGAGGAGATGAGAGTCCAGGTTCTGGTGTCTCTCTCTAGACCCCAACCCATGGCAGTCCTTTTCCTCCTTACTTCTCCACCCCCCTCACTCTGTAACCTACTTGCTCTCTTTGAACCTCCTGGTGAAATTCAGTTTTTGGGAGGAGGACTAGAAAGAATAGGCTGAACCACAGCAAGAGAGATACAGGTGAGATACCTAAACTGTACTGAGGACTAAACCAGTAGAGTGAGTTCTCAGGAGACGGCGCAGAGGAGCCCAATGTGTAATTTGCAGATAGGGCAATGAACAAGGGCCTTGTTTATGGCAGAGATTTTGAAGAAGGTTTAGGGTTGGGTTAAGGTATTGTGTCTCTGTCACACGCTTTCCTTGACATAGGGATATTGACAAACATCACTAGGCCACGGAATGCCTCCAGATAACTCTGCTAGGAAGATAAATGAGTGGATTTAGCATTGATTTCATCTCCCAACAGTCGTTGCGGTTTCCTGAGAGTCAGAGAGGCATGTTCATTTACTAGTTGGGTATCAGTTACTAGCTGTGCGCCCACGGGAGGGTGTGGATACAAATATGTATCAGTCATATTTCTTATTCTCAAGTTGCTGATGGTTTAGTTTAGCTGGAGAAAAGTTAACGACACAAAGCAAACCCATTTTAGTTCTTAACGTAATTGACCTCTCGGCAGCACTTGACCTGTCTGATTTTATTCCCACCTCAAAACACTCTGAGTTCTTGGCTGCATGAGAGCCCGCTCTTCTGGCCTTCCTGCTGCTCTGGCCTCACCTTCTAAGCCCCTTTGCCTGCTCCTTTTACATATTGGGGTTCTCAGGGACCCTTTATTTAATCCTCTCTCTAGATAATCCCATCCATTCCCTTGACCTTGCACACTGTCCATACCTCCAGCTCAGACCCTCTTCTGAGACCAGCTCCTCTGACACCCAGCTGCCTGTCTCACGGCCGTGAACTCAGCACGCTGGAAGCTGAACTCATCGACTTTCTCCCCAAACCATCTTCCTCCCCAGTCTTCCCCACCTTATAATGACACTCCCAGCCACTCTGCTGCTCAGCCAGAGAGTTTGACAGTCCCCTCCCTGCAGCTGGTCCTCCTTAGGTCCTGTTGATCCTACCACCACCATGTCTTGGACGTGACTATTCCTCACCTCCTCTGCTGCTGTGCGCCATCCGAGCCTGCACGACTACAGTCGTCTCCGTACTCATCTCCCTATTTCTACTTTCCCCTCTTCCCAGTCCATATCCGCATCACTGAAATCCTCCGCAGCCTTCCCATCGCCCTTAGAATAAAACCCAGGCTCTTCACTGGCCCGCGGGACCTTGTAATCACCTGGCCCCTGGCTGCCTCTTCAGCTGCACCTCGCACTGCCCTCTTACCTCCTCAGCTCTGGCTCCAATGGAGAGCTCTCTGCTGCCTTGGCCTTGCCCTTGTTGCACGGGCTTTCCCCTCCACTCTACCTGGTTAACTCCTGCTCTTCCTTCAGGCTTAGGTGTCATTTTCTCATACTTTCCAGAACCATCCAGTCTAAAGTAGCCCCTGCTCCCCGTAGTGTCTCTCATAGCGTCCTGTTCTTCTCCTTCCATCTCTCCTACAGTTTGTCATTTATAGTCATCTGTTCACTTCTTCAGTGTGCATCTGCCTCACTAGACTGTAAACTCAGGGTCTGTTTCACCACCGTATACCCAGGGCCTACCAGAGTGTGTGGTTCATAGAAGGTGCCTAAGAAGGAGTTGATGACTCAGTGAGGGAAGATTGGAAATAAGTGCTCAGCGTGTGGTGATGATTACTAGTGGGGTCAGGGTCAGAGGGGAAGATATAGCAATGGGTGCTAGAGTAGGTGGGGGGCTTCTGTGAGGAGGTGGGGCTGGGCTCTGAAGAATGAGCAGGTTTGGGTGAGAGTTGGGGAAGAGGGGAGAAGGAGAGGTCATTCTCCTCTGCAGAATTAGAAGGTGAAAGTATAGCAGAAAGACGCTGCCCCTCAGCCCGTAAATATCCAGATAAACTCATGACCTTGCCTGTTTCAGGACATTAGGCTTTTGGAGAACGGTTTCTACTTGCCTTCTCCTCCCACCCGCACCACATTATCCGTAGTTTCCATCCCTCATCCCCGCCTCTTAGTGTGCATGTGCACACATGCACGTGCACACACTCACACACACACACAGACCCTCAAGGGGAGCAGCCAGCCCCACCTGGCCAGTAACTATGGGTGTGTTTGACTTAGATGCTGGGGAGATGGCATCAAGAGAAGCAGCCATAGGCAGCCTTTTGTGGGCACACTCAGAAGTCGTGAGCGGGGGGAAGATGAGTGGAGGGGGAAGGAGAGGCCTGGGGTAGCCTCTGGAAAGAAGCCCGCTGCTTTCTGCTCTCTCGGGTCTCCATTGGTCCAGCCTGTTGGCCTGGCCAGAGCCTGCCTTCTATGAACCTTAGTTTTCCTGGCTGAGAATTAGGAAAGCATTGCCCTGGGGTCATTCTGGGTGGCTTTTGCTGGCCATCTTCCCTCCACCCTGAGCCCTTGGCACAATCTGGGGCTGCTCTTTCTAGGAGGCAGGGCAGGAAGAAGTGGGCCTATTGGACAGAGCAGGAACCTGGGTGGAATGTTCTCAGGCAGTGGCTAGCTTCCTGTGGCTGAGCTTCCTGTGGCTGCTGTTTGGGGATGGTCTTCCTCTGCTCTGACCCCCCAGGGAGCTCCAGCCACCCGTAACCAGCTGCTTCCTCTCCTCAGGAGCGTCGCTTGATTTTCTCTGAGACAAGCCCACCCGTCCAGCAAAATAGAGTCCCTCAGGGTGACGGTTGATTTCCTGAAGGTGCCCCTTGGCCTGAAGAAGCCGGTGCTGAAGGAGGTGGCTGTGGGGCCCCCCAGAAGGCCCCATCCTGTGGCCCTGGAGCGCTACAAGGCACGGCGTTCAGACGCCATGGACACCGAGTCCCAGTACTCGGGCTATTCCTACAAGTCGGGCCACTCCCGCAGCTCCCGCAAGCACAGGTGGGCGAGCGGTGGCAGTGAGTGGTGGAGGGAGGGTTGGGGGCGCTTGAGAGGTGGGCATGAGCAGGGGTGGTGGGGTTGGGGTGGCTGCTGAGAAGACCCAGGTCCTCCCCTTGACTTTCTGTGCCTGTTCCCCCCGGCCTCCTGCTGTAGGGACCGCCGGGACCGACACCGCTCTAAGAGCCGAGATGGGAGCCGTGGGGACAAGTCGGTGACAATCCAGGCCCCAGGGGAACCCCTGCTGGACAACGAGTCCACGCGAGGGGATGAGCGGGTGAGTGTCAGGGACGAGGCCCAGGCCAGGTGTTTCCAGTCTGATCTTTGGAGAAGCTGGAGGTCCATCAGAGAGGGGAAAAGCCTGGAAACCTGGTCTCTTCGGACAGAGGCTAGATCAGGGAGGGCATCTTGTGTCATACCTCCTTCTGCTTAGTGTCCCAAGGTCGGACCCTGTTTCAGTAAATTCAGGGAATTTCAGTAGAGATCCCTTTGGAAGGAGCAGCCTCTTCCTCATCTCCAGAGAGGTGGGGGTGACTTGGACTGTAATGGGAATTGCCTGGTTTCTCTGGGCCGATGCCAGCTAGTCAGCAGACTGGAAATCTGGAGTAGGAGGGCTGTGGTGTATGGCGCCCAGGGGTGTGGGAGCCGAGTTTTCCCTGAGCCTTAAGGTGTGGGCACTCCACCGCCCTCTGGTGTGGGCCTGTGGAATAACATCGCCCAGGTCTTAGGGAAAGGAGGTGAGGGAGGGAGGAGTAGATGGAAGAAGGGGAGGGAGAAGTGAGGCAGGAGGGCTGAGAGGGGCTGGAAGAGAGTTCTCCAGGACGTGAGTGAGCAGGTCGCTCCTGCTCTGACCTCTGGCCCGCCCTGTTCACCTGATCAGGAGGTCAGTAGGAAGAACACAGTACAGAGGTGGGATTGAGATGACTCTGAGGTTGCCCATGTTGCATTCCTCCTGCTCTTTCTTCTTGGGAGCATCTTAGACGGCTGGAGACTCCCAGTGCCTTTTTCCTCACAAGAAATCTCTGTGACTGACATTGGGAATTCCTGGGTTTTGGGAGCAGATTGATAACCAGAGGGAAATGTTCTTTCTACCTCTTTCCCAATCTCGTCTTCTCCCTGAGACCTGCCCTCCTGAGTTTTTGAAGTGACCCTGAGATCAGCTCCCCTGTTGTAGGGGAGGAGTTCCCAAGCCCTTGATCCTTGGAGAGGGTAGACAGTATGTCTGGGGTCACACTAGGGTGAGGAGCAGACCCAGTTTCTTGAGCTGAAAGCAGTCAGTGCATCCACTTTCTACAGGTCGGACCCTTCTCCTGTCCTTGGGAGAGGAGATTCCTCAACCCCCTAATTGTTGACCCTGCCAGGCAGTCTCCTACACTCTCCAGTCCATATCTTAGTCTGGTAGCCTAAATCCCCTGGGTATCAAAATGTGATTCCATAACCCCAGGCTGTCCAGGAGTTAAGGGTGTGGGCATTGATGGCCACTAGTGGTCTTGGGGCTCTTCTGTGGGATGGTGTCTAGCTTCTGCAGAGAAACAGCTTGAGTGGACCACACTCTGAAGGCCACCTGGGGACCTCAGCCTGTCCACCCTCTTGTCTCTAGCAACAGGCAGCCCGTGAGCTGTGGGTGTTCAGATGGCCCAGCAGAGCCGGCTGGGCAGACCAGAGACCCAGAGTGGCCCTAAGTCTGCACCATGTCTTGCATGCCCTGTACTAACCGTTCATCCTCCCACCCTCCATTCCCCCTGGCGTCCTCTTCTCTTCATCCGCCTCTTTTGTCAGGTCACTCCCTTAGTCAGAAGCCTTGAGTGGCTCACGGTGCCTGGAGGATAGGTGCTTCCTGCTAGCCTGGCGCTGCAGGTTGGCTGCTCTCAGCCTCACCTTGCTCTGCTCCTGCACATGGATCCCCCGCTCTCACAGTCCTCTGGGGGTGAGCTCATGTCATTCCTGCCCCTGGGTGCTCCCCCTCTCGCTTCTGCTGAAATCATGGAATGCTGTGAAAGCTGGAAGGAACTTATGGCAGTACTTCTAAAATTTTAATGTTTGAGTGATTTATGGGGATCTTGTTAAAATGCAGATTCTGGTTTAGTACATGTGGGGTGGGGTCTGTGATTCTGCATTTCTAACAAACTCCCGGGTGATGACCACACTGCTGGTCCACAGATCACATGTTAAGTAGCCAGGCCTTAGAGATCATTTAGTTCAGTGATTCTGGATTTTGGATGAACATTGGAATCATCTGGGGGGCTTTTTAAAAAATAAAGGTTGACACCTTCTTGAATGGGATCTGGGCATTGGTGTTATTTTCCAAGCTCCCTAGATGATACTAATGTGTGTAGCTGGGGCTGGGAACCACTGACTCAGTCACTTCTTCGTGTCACCTGCCCCCAAGGGTCGCTCAGGTTGCATGGTTCCCTGGAAGCCTGCCTGCTTTGCCAGTCTGATCTCTGATCCCAGTCATTGCTGGAGCAGCTCCTTTGGCATCTCTCTTGGGCCGTCTGCTCTGAGGGTCCTCTGTGCTCACACAGTTTTTTCCTGTTTTGCTGACTGGTGTGAAGCTCCTGAGGCCCCAAGTCTCAGACGTCCCATCCCTGCAGAGGCCGGGCTTGGGCACACGGTGGAGCTCAGTAAATACTTTGATGGCTGCATATTTGTTGATTACCCCTCCTCTCCTCTCCTCTCCCATGCTTTCCTCTCTGTCTTCCCTCCCTCCTCCTTTCCCCTGTTTCCCCTCCTCATCACATCTTTTCCCCTCATTGCTGTGGCCGCTCCTGCTACAGGACGACAACTGGGGGGAGACGACAACGGTAGTCACGGGCACCTCAGAGCACAGCATCTCCCACGATGACCTCACACGCATCGCCAAGGACATGGAGGACAGTGTCCCGCTGGACTGCTCCCGTCACCTGGGTGTGGCGGTGGGGGCCACGCTGGCGCTGCTCTCCTTCCTCACGCCACTGGCTTTCCTGCTGCTGCCCCCACTGCTGTGGCGGGAGGAGCTGGAGCCATGCGGGACAGCCTGTGAGGGCCTCTTCATCTCCGTGGCCTTCAAGCTGCTCATCCTGCTGCTGGGCAGCTGGGCCCTGTTCTTCCGCCGGCCCAAGGCCTCGCTGCCCCGCGTCTTCGTGCTGCGCGCCCTGCTCATGGTGCTCGTCTTCCTGCTCGTCGTCTCCTACTGGCTCTTCTACGGCGTGCGCATCCTGGACGCCCGGGAGCGCAGCTACCAGGGCGTGGTGCAGTTCGCCGTGTCTCTGGTGGATGCCCTGCTCTTCGTGCACTACCTGGCAGTAGTCCTGCTGGAGCTGCGCCAGCTGCAGCCTCAGTTCACGCTCAAGGTAGTGCGCTCCACTGATGGGGCCAGCCGCTTCTACAACGTCGGCCATCTCAGGTATGGGCACGTGGGAGCAGGCTGAACGGGCATGGGAAGAGGTTGACGGGACTGTAGGGCAGGAGGGCGTGATGCTGAAGCTGGAGGTGATGGGCTAGGAGGGCTGTGTGGGAAGGAGTTGAGTACTTTGCACATTGTTTGCTGCTTGATGGGAGGGTCATGCGCAGGGTCCTGGAGCAAGATGGGGTGGGAGTTAGGAGTTGGGAGTGAACAGATGAACAGACAATTAGAGAGCCAGATCTTACAGAGGGATGGACCAAAGAGGAGAAAGGTGTGGGCATGAACAGGGGCTCTTTGGAATCACTTTTCTAGCTCTTTCTTGGAGGCACGGTCTCTGTGAGCACTCAGCGTGTGGTCCCTGAGATGAGGTGGCCGGAGGAGGGACCCCTCCCGAAGAAGAGATAATGGGGAGAGTTCTTTAGTCCCCCTGTGGGCAGGATGCCCCCAGGCCACACAGAGTACCAGTAGCACCTCCTAGTCCTGTGGGGAATCTTGAGGGGATGCTGGAGGGGTTGAGGTGACCCTTTGCTGGGGACCCAGGCCCAATGCCCTTTCTCCCCTGGGCTTTAGCACAGCAGGGAAGGACTAGCAGGCCCAGCCCTGGGGAAGGCTTGGGAGCCTGGTAAGTAGACCTCAGGCCCTGAGCCAGGCTTCTTGGAAGCAGCTTGTGTCTGTCCTGTGTCCTTTCCTGCCCTGCCAACCTGCCCTGATGCGCCCCTTCCCCTGTGCCCCTTGTCTGTCCCTTCTCCCTCCCCCTCCTGCCATCTCCCCCACAGCATCCAGCGCGTGGCAGTGTGGATCCTGGAGAAGTATTACCATGACTTCCCTGTCTACAACCCTGCCCTCCTCAACCTGCCCAAGTCCGTCCTGGCCAAGAAAGTGTCTGGCTTCAAGGTGTATTCCCTTGGAGAGGGTGAGCGGCCCTGCTCCTCCGCGCTCCTGGTCTCTTCCCAAGCAGGACTCCCAGTTACCTCCTCCCTGTTTCTCACCCTCCTTCCCTTGCTTTCTCCTTTCCCCGGCCCATGTCCCAGCCTCTGCTGTTCTGTCAGTTTCCTTGACTCCAGGTGGCTGGTCTTAGCTGCTGATCTACTTGTTGTCCCTTTATGCTATGTTGTGTCCCGCAATCTGGCTCCTCTGCGTCTGCTCATCAGCCCTGGTCCTAAGCCCTTGGCTCTGTGAGCTCCAGAGCCTCCTGCACTGGGAGGGCCATGTGCAGGACTGCTGCCCCACAGTGCCCTCCTTGTTGCTTTCCTGGGAGCCTCCCTCAGACGTGGCCAGGAGGGTTGGAAACGGGAAGTATTGCTGGGGGGTGGGTACAGCTTCCTCTGGTCATGTCAGGTTGCTGTCTCCAGAATCCCTGGAGTGGGAAGCGAGGCCACGCTCCCAAGTGACCATCCCCTCTCTCTCCTGCTCCTGTGCAGAAAACAGCACCAACAACTCCACGGGCCAGTCCCGGGCTGTGATTGCAGCAGCGGCTCGGAGGCGGGACAACAGCCACAACGAGTACTACTACGAGGAGGCCGAGCACGAGCGGAGGGTGCGCAAGCGGAGGGCCAGGTGGGTCCCTGGGGTGGAGGGGCGTGCCTGGCTGGTGGGGCTGTTGGGTGTGGATAGGCTGGGGAAAGCAAGACCAACGGGCTTCTGTAACTGCTGGAAATAGACGAGCAATGATGCTATCGGTGGGGGTGTGCATTCATTTTCTGTTGCTGCTGTAACAGATGACCATAAACTCAGTGCTGTAAGACAACACGTGTCTATCATCTCACAGTTCCATGGGTCAGGCGCGGGTTAGCTGGACCCTCCACTCAGGTCTCACGGGCTGAAATCAAGGTGACTCTCATCCAGGCTCACTGGTTGTTGGCAGAATCAGTTCCTTGCCACCTGATCCTGTTGGCAGTTCACGACACGGCAGTTCACTTTTCCCCCGAGGCCAGCAGGAACAGGTCTCTCTGACTTCTGCCAGAGAAAACTGTGTTTTTAAAGGGCTCATGTGGTGAAATCAGGCCTGCCAGGATAATCTCCTTATTTTAAAGTCAACTGACTTGGCGCTTTAATTATATCTGCAATATGTACCGATTATTGAATAACCAGGAGATGGGAATCTGGTGGAGGTAGGCGTCCTACCAAGATCGTCCTACCTACGATCTTGAAGGCTTGCTCAGCAGACAGTACTTTTCTACCTGCAAAAAATGAGGTTCCAGTGCCCGTATTTTGGTAAATTCTTAAATGCTGTTCTTACTCCTTCCTTTTTCCTGTTCACATTATTATGTGAACTTCAGTCATGCCTGAAGAATCTTTCTTGATGACTACTGCTGCCAGGTCCCGCCTTGGTTGGTCGGGATTTCCATGAGGGAGGAGGAGCAGAGGGCCCTGGGACTTGACCATCCACTCTGCCCTCTGCCCCTCCTCCCACACGATCTCCAGGCTTCCAGGGAGGAAGGCTGCACAGCTGCAGCCTCAGTTCACGCTCAAGGTAGTGCGCTCCACTGATGGACTTACCCTGTAAGAACACGAGGCTGCTGCCCCTCTCAGAGACCACACCCCATTTCGGTGACATTCCAGCATGTCTCCATTTGTCTCAGAAATGGCCCTGGTGGGAAGGAAACCAGAGATGTCACCTACCCCCTTTACCTTCTGCCCTGATGAGGGTCTTTGGATCTCCTGTGCTGTCACCACCATTCTTGGCCCATAGGGGACCCTTTCCTTCCCCTATTACTTTGGTTGTAACAAGGAGTCCCTTGGTTCACCTGAGACTAAAGGATCTTTTCAAAAGGAACCTTGCTGAGACACTCAGGGGAAGCAAAAGAAGAAACAGAGAAACGGTAGACATACGCAGATCCACACATTTACTTAGCCCGGATGCCATCCTAAGCTCCTTGAAGTTCCCGGGTTCCTGGGTTTCTGGATACTGGTGTTGGTTTGTGTGTCTCTATGCTTTTAATGTGAATTGGCTTCTTTCTCCTGCTTCCTCCTTAACGTTATCTATTTGAGATTCACCCATGTTGTCTATCCTCATCCGGTGTCACATCTTATCACTGCATAGTAGTTCATAGAGTGCTCCCACCATCCTAACCAGTGTTTGGATTATAGTCATCTTCCCAATTTTTCCCATTTTGATGGATAAGTAGTATCTTATTAACATTTTAATTCTCTCTCTAATTACTACAAAGTGATGACTTCATATATTGTTCAGCCTTTCAGGCCTCTTGTGAATTGTGTGTTCACCTCCTTTCCCCATTTTTATATAGTGTTCTTGCCTTTTTCTTCTTGATTTGTAGCAAATTGTTTGCATATCTCTCCCCCTCAACAGATGTCAGTTCATGTTGCCCATGCTGTCATGGTTGAATAGGAATCTGTTATTTCACGTAGTTATATCTATTAGCTGTTCACCTGATGAAGTGTGATTTGGGGGTCTTATTAAGAAGGCTTCTCCTAGGGTTTGATGCAGTGCTCATCTTTCCCATAGCACAGTTCCTGGTTGTTGCTCTGGGTTTGACACTAGATTGTCCTCTGTGAGTCCCTGGGCTGGGCTCACTGAGCTATACAGCTGTTTCCTGTCCCCAGTGGGGGAAAGTTCACCCCTCCAACCACACACACACACACTCTCTCACATCCACATGCACGCACATGCTCACAGACACACACACGCGTGCGCACAGCCCCCAAAGCCCAGATGGGTTTCTATTGCTTTTGGGAGAGTACAAAGGCCTGACCTCGCTCAGGCTGCTGGGGGGGCCAGAGCTGGGCGGAGAGGAGAGGTGGGCGCCTGGTCCAGACCCCTCCTATTCCCCAGGCTTGTGGTGGCGGTGGAGGAGGCCTTCACTCACATTAAGCGGCTGCAGGAGGAGGAGCAGAAGAACCCCAGGGAGGTGATGGACCCCCGGGAGGCCGCCCAGGCCATCTTCGCATCCATGGCCCGGGCCATGCAGAAGTACCTTCGGACCACCAAGCAGCAACCTTACCACACCATGGAGAGCATCCTGCAGCACCTTGAATTCTGCATCACACATGACATGACGCCCAAGGTAGGCTCACTCTGCTCCCAGCTTCCTTCCTCTTTCCCCAGTTCTGGCCTCTTCTTTTCACCTTCCTTTTCCCAAATTCTCTTACTTCTTTCCTTTCCCTCCACCCATTCTTCTCTCTCCTCTCCACCTCCTCCTAGTCTCTTCTCTCATTCCTACCCCATCCACCCCATCTCTGCACATTCTTAGGTGGTAAGGAGAAGGGGGAGCTTCAGGACTATTTTGGGAATGGCTGAGACCTATTTCTTTTCTCTGTAAGGACTCTAGAATTTCCAGATCCAAAGTCCCACCTTTATCCCCCTCACCTCTACCAGGTGTTCTTTGCTCTGTGCTCTTTTTGAGCCATTAACCCCACTCAGCTCTTTTGCCAGCTTCCTAGAATTGCTTCCCCTGAGCCATCCTTGGTGACCAAGTGACTGAAGATGTTGCACTGTAACCATGACACCTCCTCTAGCTTTCTGCTGGTGCAGACCTGCTCCGCACTAACCATATGAGCTGTATGGAGAGGAAGGAAGAATGAGGGAGGGCTTGCCCAGGTCACAGCATGGTATAGGGGGAATTACAAAGATGAGAGGTCAGGAGAACCGTGCTCCAGTCCTGACCCTGCTGAGCCACCACACTTCTGTGGGCTCTGGCTTCCTCATTTGTAAAACAAGTGTCTGAGGCAGATGGTCTCAGGCCCCTTCCTGCTCTAACATTCTACAGTCTTGTGGAGTGAGCTGGGGACATGTTGGTTGTCTTTGGAAGTGGTGCCCCCAGGGGATGAAGGATGGCGAGTGGGTGGGAGAGATGCCTACACAGCCCCTTCTCCCCTCCTCAGGCCTTTCTGGAGCGGTACCTGGCGGCCGGACCCACCATCCAGTACCACAAGGAACGCTGGCTGGCCAAACAGTGGACACTGGTGAGCGAGGAGCCGGTGACCAATGGGCTCAAGGATGGCATTGTTTTCCTTTTAAAACGCCAGGACTTCAGCCTGGTGGTCAGCACCAAGAAGGTCCCATTCTTCAAACTCTCTGAGGAATTTGTGGATCCCAAGTCGCACAAGTTTGTCATGAGGCTGCAGTCTGAGACCTCGGTGTGACTGTGCAACAGCAGGGGGAACGGGAGACGCGGGGGGCTCCTGAGGGTGGTGGGCAGGGGCTTGGCTCCCAGGCCACATTCCTGCTGCCCTTCTTCTTCTTGCTCTTGGTTTTTTTACTTGAATTTACTTACCCCCCTCTCTGACTCCTCCCCTCTTCCTTATTGACCCCATATGAACCTGGAGAGACCATCCTGCTGTCAACAGTATCTGGGAAGTCCCCTCTCTTTTTTCCACCCCCTCACTTTTGTATCACTCCAGGCCCTGCAGGAATCAGTGCCTCTCTCCCTCTTTTCCCAGATGACAGTTCTTCTGAAAGGGCACAGGGCCCTCGTGAGCCCCCACTCGCGAACCCCGGTTCTTGTGGCAGGTCTGTCCGGTGGCCCCCCACTGGGTGTCTCTGTGGGGCACAGACATGACTCCAGAGAGCCATGGTGCCAAACTCCTCCCAGGCAGTGGCTTCCCGCGGCATCCAGATGGCGGGGGAATCCGGCCCTCCTGCCCACTCACCCCCGCCGTAACAAACCCTGAGTTCTGGGACAGCTCTCCCGCGTCCTCCCACACAGCCTCAGAGTCAGGGGTCTCCCTGCAGGGGTTGTTTGTTTCCAGCTGTTGGATCCTCCTTCCCCCAGCCTTCAGAGCACACATAGGCTGTTAGAGCCTCCCTTCCCCATCCACATATATTCAGAGCAAGGGAAGAGCCCATCCTTAACCCTGATGTCTCTGCCTTTGTTTCTGATTTGTATGGTCTCATGTGACCACAGGCAAACTGAGGCAGGAACCCTTTCTGACCACTTTTCCTGGGCCTTGGGGGACGGTATCCTTCTTCCATTGGGTCTTTCCTAGGCAGCCTCTGAGGGAAGGGCAAGAGAGACCCCTGTGAACATCACTGACCCCTACCCTCTGAACCTGCCCACATCTTCGTTCCTGCCTTGGAGGGGCAGGTTTCCCCCTCCCGGTGAAGGATGGCATGTAGACTCCTGTACGGATTTAGTGGCTTACAGACCCTGACCCAACCCCTGTGGTCTTAGACAAACGTTTTTCTTTCCTTCACCAGCCACCCCCCACTCCTGCTGTTTCTTCTCTCAGCTCTAGAGACCTGTTGCCTCATCTCCTTTTGTGGGGAAGCCAGCAGCTCCTCCTCATCCCCTGCCTTAAGTCTACTTCTTTGCCTCAGGGGTCTCTTTTCCTTGGCTGCCAAGATCACTTCCTCTTCTCTCCCTGCCTGGTTCTCTGGGCTCTGGTCTCCCTCTGTACTGGGGTGAGGGACCAGGATTGCTGCCTTTTGTGGGTACTTAACCCCTCACCCATTTAGCTTCCATAGTCTTTGCAACCCGATTTGAATTCTAAAGAGTGTAGGTCTCATTTTGAGCAAAATTCGCTGACCCTCTAATACATATTTTCAGTGTAAATTTGAGCCTTTAAATCAGACAACTTTAAATTATGTAGTTTTAGCCAAGAGGAATAGAACTAGGAAACACCCATATACCTCCAGCCACGATCTATGTGGAGGACTGTTCTGGTGGCTGGGCTGGAGCGTGCCCCTGGACCAGTCCTCTAAATAACTCACAATGCCCCTTTATAGGCCCATGTTTCTCCTGGAAAACTCACTGGTTCTTGCCTTTTGGAGTGCCCTTGGGATATGATCCTCATTGATCTCTCACCAGGGAGGCCTCCTGTCTGTATAGTGGCAGCCTGGGCAGGATGGAGCCTAGTGATAGGGATTTCTTCTGCTGTCCTTTCTGAAAAAGCACATCTGTCCACCCACCACTTACTAGAGAAGGGCTCTTCAGCCAGTGTTTACCTTGTCCCACAGGGGTGGGTTGTGGGGCTGACTTAGGCAGGGCCTGGAGGTCAGCCTTGGGCTAGGCTGTGGTTTTTGGATAGGCCTGAGTGAAATACATCCTGGCCTGGGGATCTGGGAAGGTATTTCTTCTTCTCTTCGAAGACCTGGTTTCAGAGGAGTCCCTTCAGGGTCACATTTCTAAATACCTCACTATCCTGGAAAATAGGGCCTGGATGGTGATTGGGGTGATTGCTTTTGTGGGCAGGAGTGGGATGTGGTGTGGTTTGAGGAACGAATTGGGGTGGGGAGAGGGAAAGTATTTGGGATCTTAGTTGCTGCCCTAGATTAGGGACCGGGGAGTGTTTGTTTTAAGAACCTGCCATGTTTTTAATCACTGTGATTTTTTCATTCCTTTTTCCTAAAACAAAAAGAAAATTTTTTTCCCCCAAACTCTCTCTCTAAGCACTAAGGGCTGTGACTGAGAATGGTAGTGTTTTGGTCCTTTGCGTCAGAGCTGTGGTATCTTTGTCTTCTTTGATTATTATTATTATTATTATTTTTTAAAATGTCAGGATGAGTTGTCAAGTGTATGGTTGTGTTTGTCTTTTGCTTCTCCTATATGCAAAGTTGTTTTCATGCTGTGAACTGCTGTGGGGCGGGCAGCTGACTCAGTCCCTCTGAGCAGTGTCCCCCACCTTGCTTGTCCCATCATGTGCCTACCTGTTGCCACTCCCTGCCCCCATATCACCACAGGGGATGCCGTGGCAGGGTTTCTCCAGTGCTCTTTTTTCTATGACTACATGGCATCCTAGCCCATCCCCACCATACCTACTAGGCCTTTCTTTTTGTCACCTTGGACTGCTTGTCTTTCCCTCCACACCAGGATACTGTGCCTCAGTCCTTCACCTACCGCGCCACTCTGCCACTGTCCCCACTGGTCCCTTCCTCTTAGACGACTCTTCATGCTCTCTCTGTTTATTCTTGTTTACAGTCATTTGTCACTTAACAATGGGGATAAATTCTGAGAAATGCACCATTAGGTGGTTTCATCCTTGTGCGAACATCACAGAGTGTACTTACACAAACCTAGATGGTATAGCCTACGACACACCTAGGCCATATGGTACTAATCTTATGGGACCACCATTGTATATGTGGTGCGTTGTTGATCGAAACATCATTATGTGGCTGTGACTGTATTTCCTTTTAGTCTTTCATTTTTACTTCCCATCCCCCTTCACTTCAGCCCTTAATTTTTCCTTCTCCATCCCACCTCAGTATTCCTGTTGCAAACCCTGATTACATTACCAGTGATGAGACATTGGGATCCTGGAACCTTCTCATCTGAAACATGGATTTCCCAGAGTTTGTGCTTCTCTCCTTCTCTGTTGGGCCTGGATGAGCTCCCTCGCCCCTCCCTGGTGTCTATCAGTCTGTCTGTCTTCTCTTTCCTCTGCCCTCCCCACAGGGCAGCATCTGCTGATGGATTCAGTCTGATGTGTGATTGTTGTGATGTGTTCTGTGTGTGAAAGGAAAGGGGCTTTTTGCGTCTCTTCCAAGTGAGATTGTAAATGTAGAATTTGCCACTGTTGGATCTAGATTTCTTTTTTTCTTTTTTTGGGGTTACAGAGCTGAGACCTTGTGCATGCATGTAGAAAATTGTAAAATGTAAATTTTTTTTTTTTAATATATAAAAAGCTTGTTTTTACAGTTTGCAGTGGATCTAAACATTATGGCAATTTTAGAGATTTTTTTCCTTAAACAAACCTAGGAACTAAAACTGTAAAAAATTTTTCTATATAAAATAAAGACATTTGACTTTTGTGGGGGCATTCTGTTGTTTTTCTTCTTTTACAGGAATAGGAGCAAAAGGTCAGGAAACAGTAAATATGTGCTCCTTGTCAGAGAGCGGGGCCAGGAGGGGGCACTGTGAGCTCATCATTGCTCCACTGTTCCTCAGGGTGAATGAAAAAGGAAATTGCTTCTTCTGAAGCCTGATTCTGAGAAGAGAGAAACAGTGGAATGAGAGGACTCACTTAGCCGTTTCCTGGGGTGGTGGTCAGGATAAGGAGGAAGGAAAGATGACTTTCTGGGTAGATCCATAGGAATTTCAGGGAATAGTTGATTTCAGTCTATAGTGACAGCTCATCACATTTCATTAAGAAAAATTCCTGAAGTACATCTCTTATTTCTGAGTATCTTCTTACTTCTACCATTATCTCTCTAATCTTTCAGGCACTGCACAAAAGAATACTCTAGCAATAGTTATTTATTTAAAATGAAAATGTCCAGTCGGTATTGTGCTTGTAGTCAAACATCAGAATCATCACCATGAGATCAGGGCCCTCATCACGAGCTTGGGTCCTCACCAAGATCCAAGCTTCTCTGTGACTTTGGGCAAAATGTTTAGCACATAAACAGCCTTCTAAGGTTAAGAACAAACAAACAAGCAGATGTAAGCTTTCCTGGGTGGAATTGACTCATTTACTAGATTTAGTCTTCCTCTCCCCTGCCTCATACTTTGCCAGGCTCTGAGGATGCAAAGACAAGAGACTCGGTCCTTGTCCTGGAGGAAGATCCAGTCTACAGGAGGTGACAGACCAAATAACCTGATGAAGCCCACATGGTGCTCACGGACAGAGCACAGATGAGCTTTGGCTGAATTTCAAGGAGCTCAGGGAGCCTTCCTTCAAGAAATTTAAAGAATTTGTTTAAGAATCAAGAGAGGGTAACACAATGTCCTTGAGGGGAGGGGCTTTATCTGTTTTGTTCACTTAAATATTCCCACCATCTATAGCAGTTCCTCACCTGTAGTTGGTGCTCAATAAAAACTGAAAGAATAATGAATTAAAAAACACTAACAATATAGCAGCCAGCGCTGGTGGTCTAGTGGTTGATCATTTCCCGGTCAGGGAACACCACCATCTGTCTGTGGGATGTCTGTGGCAGCTGCGTGTTGCTGTGATGCTGAAAGCTATGCTACCGGTATTTCAAATACCAACAGGGTCACCCCTGGTGGACAGGTTTCACTGGAGCTTCCAGACTGAGACAGACTAGGAAGAAAGACCTGGCCACCCAATTCCGAAGAAATTGGCCATGAAAGTCCTATGAATAGCAGTGGAGCATTGTCTGATATAGTGCCAGAAGGTGAGAGGATGGTGCAGAAAGACCGGGCAGAGTCTGCTCTGCTGTACGCAGGGCTGCTAGGAGTTGGAATTGACTCAACTGCGCTAACAACAAAAAGCAATACAGTAGGGGCGTATAAAAGGGATCATATACTTAGATCTTCTCCCACTAAAATTGCACTCAAGTCTTTCTTGTGAAAATGAATTAAAAAACTCCCCTTGAAACTGCATCCCCCATTCTCATGGCTCTGTCCTTTTTGTAACTAGGCTTCTAGTTTCACTTGCTGTTTTCAGTTTACCTCAAAGCCAACTTTTGACTTTCTGTGATCAAATTTCTACCCTAGCATGCTTCTAAAATTGTTCTTACTGTTAATGACCAAATAGAATAAATACCTTTTAGTTTAATAAGTCTTCATTCAGTTCCTAGGATGTTCCCAGCCTAGTACTGAAGTGCTTTTTTTTTTTTTTTTTGAGGGAGAGTGGCCCTGAGCTAACATCTGTTGCCAATCTTCCTTTTTCTTTTTTCTCCCCAAAGCCCCTGTACATAATTATATATCCTAGTTGTAGGGTCTTCTAGTTCTTCTGTGTGGGACGCCACATCAGCATGGCTTGATGAGCAGTGACTAGGTCCGCACCCAGGATCCCAACCGGGGAACCCCAGGCCGCCGAAGTGGAACGTGCAAACTTAACCGCTACGCCACTGGGCCAGCCCCTGAAG